TTGTATAGAAAAATGTTTCATTTTCCCTAATTTGTCGAACAGAACCTAACATTTAATTAAATAAGATATTCCCTACTAGCTGGGGGTACAGGTCCCCTGGACCAAAGTTATGTAAATTCATGATCAATGAAAGGTTATCTTAGGACATGAAAAGTTGCTTCCCATATATGTAATTGTAAAAAACGCCCATAAAAAGCGGAAAACACATGTACCTAATGAACCCCCATATCAAATTTTGGTGTAGGTCCATCCACACCCTGCGAAGTAGTTACATGGACATACAGTACTATCATATTTATATAGATTAAATAAGACATAGAGAACAAAAGAAAAAGAAACATCAAAGATGATGTTTTTCTTATTATAAAGCTACACAATGTGCTATCTGCACTTTTCTCTACCGCGGGGAATAGAACCACGGATTTTTGTGTTGTAAGATCATAAACTTACCGATGGCCCATCGGGGAATATTGAAAAGGTGAATGTGTGTGTGTGATATTTAGTGGGACATTTGCTGTTTTTGTTATGTGTGAATAACACTTTTCGATATTGTAACACCTTAGTGTGGGAATAACACATTTCCTTATATAACGTAACACTGCAATGTGTGAACAATACACATCCTTATATTGTAACACTTCAACGTGTGAATAACACCCTTCCTTATATTGTAACACCTTAATATCTGAACAACACACTTCCATATATTGTAATACTGCAATGTGTGAACAATACACTTCCTTATATTGTAACACCTCAATGTGCTAATAACACCCTTCCTTATATTGTAACACCTTAATATGTGAATAATACCCTTCCTTATATTGTAACACCTCAATATCTGAACAACACACTTCCATATATTGTAATACTGCAATGTGTGAACAATACACTTCCTTGTATTGTAACACCTAAATGTGTGAATAACACCCTTCCATATATTGTAACACCACAATGTATATTACACGCTTCCTAGTAGTGTTTAATTCTGTTAAACTCACGAATAACCATTTGATGACGTCATACAACACATTATCCTTCTACAAATGTTTTTGTGTTTACAAAGTAAAACTTTTGTTGTTGTTGTTGTTATATTTACGTAAACTGTGCCAGTTACTAAAAGGCAGCACATTTTCTGGAGCGATTAAACACCGAGCCAAACAGTTTCTTAAGATGTTAAAGGCAGAATAAAACACACGTTAGTGTAATTAAGACCAAACACACACACACAAAGCATCCTCTCTTAATCACATACTTTAAACCATTATCTGGTGAATGTCTGTGTGTGCGTAGTGTAATTGGCGAACTGCTGGACCGATTGTCAAGAAACCTGGTATGTATCGTGAGGATCCCACGAGAAGGTCCCATTTCCCATATCAACCCAGGAGCCCATGTTTTTCCCGTGCGTTGTACCCACTAGTGACTGGCGTACCGCTAAGTCGAATGTCATCAAACCTGTTATGCATCCTACAGGGTCTGCCCTCCAGCCGCACTGTGGTACGTCTGCGGACTCATAACGCTAGAAACCGGGTTTCAATACCCGTGGTGGACAGACCACAGATAGCCCATTCTGTAGCTTTGTGCTTAACTACAGAAAAAAAAACAACTTTGGGCCCCCAAGGAATTAC